GCTGCGCTCTTATTCAATCGATGGATCGAATGCCGAAATATGGGATTGAACCAGGGACCTTTAGATCTTCAGTCTAACGCTCTCCCAACTGAGCTATTTCGGCTGTTGTTTGTCAGTTCTATTGTCAATCTAGTAAATCTAACATTAAAAATGGTAGGCACAAAACCGAAGTCGCAATGCTGCGCTCTTATTCAATCGATGGATCGAATGCCGAAACCCGGGATTGAACCAGGGACCTTTAGATCTTCAGTCTAACGCTCTCCCAACTGAGCTATTTCGGCTGTTGTTTGTCAGTTCTATTGTCAATCTAGTAAATCTAACATTAAAATGGTAGACAAAACCGAAGTCGCAAAAACTTTTCTTATTCAATCGATGGATCGAATGCCGAAACCCGGGATTGAACCAGGGACCTTCAATCTTCAGTCTAACGCTGAGAAAACTGAGCTAAACAAAAAACCCGGGAGTTCTATTGTCAACTAGTAAACCTAACATTAAATGGATCTTCAGTCTAACTCTTATTCTTGGATCAAATGAGAAACCCGGGATTGAACCAGGGACCTTTAGATTTTCAAACGCTCTTGAGCTATTTTCTGTTGTTTCAGTTCTATTGTAAATCTAGTAACTAACATTAAAATGGTAGGCACAAAACCGAAGTCGCAATGCTGCGCTCTTATTCAATCGATGGATCGAATGCCGAAACCCGGGATTGAACCAGGGACCTTTAGATCTTCAGTCTAACGCTCTCCCAACTGAGCTATTTTAAGTTTTTGTTTGTCAGTTCTATTGTCAATCTAGTAAATCTAACATTAAAATGGTAGGCACAAAACCGAAGTCGCAATGCTGCGCTCTTATTCAATCGATGGATCAATGCCGAAACCGGGATTGAACCAGGGACCTTTAGATCTTCAGTCTAACGCTCTCCCAACTGAGCTATTTCGGCTGTTGTTGTTTGTCAGTTCTATTGTCAATCTAGTAAATCTAACATTAAAATGGTAGGCACAAAACCGAAGTCGCAATGCTGCTCTTATTCAATCGATGGATCCAATGCCGAAACCCGGATTGAACCAGGGACCTTTAGATCTTCAGTCTAACGCTCTCCCAACTGAGCTATTTCGGCTGTTGTTTGTCAGTTCTATTGTCAATCTAGTAAATCTAACATTAAAATGGTAGGCACAAAACCGAAGTCGCAATGCTGCGCTCTTATTCAATCGATGGATCCAATGCCGAAACCCGGGATTGAACCAGGGACCTTTAGATCTTCAGTCTAACGCTCTCCCAACTGAGCTATTTCGGCTGTTGTTTGTCAGTTCTATTGTCAATCTAGTAAATCTAACATTAAAATGGTAAAAAAAAACCGAAGTCGCAATGCTGCGCTCTTATTCAATCGATGGATCGAATGCCGAAACCCGGGATTGAACCAGGGACCTTTAGATCTTCAGTCTAACGCTCTCCCCAACTGAGCTATTTCGGCTGTTGTTTGTCAGTTCTATTGTCAATCTAGTAAATCTAACATTAAAATGGTAGGCACAAAACCGAATGCGCTCTTATTCAATCGATGGATCCAATGCCGAAACCCGGGATTGAACCAGGGACCTTTAGATCTTCAGACGCTCTTGAGCTATTTCGGCTGTTGTTTGTCAGTTCTATTGGTAAATCTAACATTAAAATTAACAAAAAAAGTCTAATGCTGCTCTTATTCACTCAATCGATTTCAAATAATTTCCGGGATTGAACCAGGGACCTTAAATCAGATCTATAAAGTATATATTAAAAATGGTCCCATATATATCTATTTCGGCTGTTATTTGTCAATTCTATCAATAAATCTAGTAAATCTAATATTAAAATGGTAAAAACCATATATACCGAATATAAAATGTTTGCGCTCTTATTCAATCGATAAATCGATTTCCGAAACCCGGGATTGAACCAGGGATTTTAGGGATCTTCAGTCTAACGCTCTCCCCAATTTGAGCTATTTCGGCTGTTGTTTGTCAGTTCTATTGTCAATCTAGTAAATCTAACATTAAAATGGTAGGCACAACTGTTTTGTCGCAATGCTGCGCTGTTTATTCAATGGATGGATCGAATGCCGAAACCCGGGATTGAACCAGGGACCTTTAATCTTCAGTCTAACGCTCTCCCCAAGCTATTTGCTGTTGTTTTCAGTTCTAACAAAAAAAAAAAAAAACATTAAAATTTATAAAACCGAAGTCGCAATGCTGCGCTCTTATTCAATCGATGGATCGAATAAACCATATTTTGAGGGACTGTTTAGATCTTAAATGCTTTTCAACTGATATTTTCAATGTTTTGAATCAGTTCTATTTTCAATCTAGTAAATCTAACATTAAAATGGTAAAAAACAAAACCGATGTCGCAATGCTGCGCTCTTATTCAATCGATGGATCGAATGCCGAAACCCAGGATTGAACCAGGGACCTTTAGATCTTCAGTCTAACGCTCTCCCAACTGTAAAATTTGGTGCTGTTGTTTTTCGGCTGTTGTTTGTCATTTCTATTGTCAATATTTACATTCTTTTATTAAATCTAACATTAAAATGAACAAACGATTTTTCCCCATGGAGCTATTTAATAAAAAACCGAAGTCTAATATTAAAAATGCTGCGCTCTTCTTTTCAATCGATGGATCGAATGCCGAAACCCGGGATTGAACCAGGGACCTTTAGATCTTCAGTCTAACGTTATGTTAGAAAATCTAACTTAGAAACTTCACAGATTTGACCGAAGTGAATTTGTTTGATGAATTATTTGATGCCGCAAAGCTCACTGTTAGAAGTTGATACGATTATGTTGCTTGTAGTTGAAGGAGTGAATAAGATGGGTAGATATGTGTGTGCGTGTGTCATAGCGTCTTCCCATAAGGGATAGACGCGGGTTCTTCACTGAACTACATTGAGGAATGGTTGAAGATGCCGCTAAGTATTTACAATGTTGTATGTCACGTGATTGGCTCGAAACACATTGACAGATTTTTGGCGGTAAATTAATTTTAACCGTGTGGACGTAAACGAAAGTATGATTTTCGCATTAATTGACCAATCAGGAGTCAGAGAAATATCAAGGCTCTGTGATTCACTTTGGTGTTTGTACAAAAAATTGATGTCGAAAGAAAGTGTTTGCAGAATGCTAAAAAATCCATAGTTTCAACAAATTGACACTGACGAAAATCTGAACGCTGGACACGTGAACAGAAATGAAACTTTTCATCATGACTTCCTATGCTGTTTTCTTGTTGAGTTTTTTTTTTTCCTTTATTTTATATCAAAAAGGATTTCGCATAGGCTCGCTGTTTTCTTTTCTAGGCTCAGCGGCTATTTCCTGTGAGATTGGCCCAAAGAAAATTTCACATAGGCTCACGAATTTGTTTTCGTCATTTTCCTCAGTTCGCCTGAATATGAAGCGGGTGGGTAAAGAGAGTTATTATTATTTCGTACTCACCACAAGTTTTTTTTTTTTTTTTGGTCAACAGTCCTTTTGTCGACTATAAAACTCTATTCCAGCTTACTGCTTTCCAGTCAACGTTGATCTTCAAAAATTTAAATGTAATGTCAATCGTTTTCTTCTGTCTTCTTGGTTCCTCTTCTTTTATTGTTTTTTCCTTAATAATGTCTTTATTTTTCTTATTCTTTTTTCACACTCAGTATCCCCTTGTGACTTAGTGGCTTTATTGCCTTGCTTAGGGTAAAATGATTATAAAAAATAAGATTATAATCATGATATTACCTCGGTCTATCCAAGATATCAGATTTATTTCCTTTTGGTACATTTATACCAAAAATAATCTAACATTTGCTGAAAAGAAAAGATAAAATAAAAATTCTTTTAGAAAGGGTTTACACTCGAGTATGACATTTAAACTTTAATTTTTTTTTAAAATTCAAACAGGTTATTATATAATAAAAATATACTTTTGTGACGAACAGGAACGGAATTAATTTGAAAATTACACTTATAAATTATAAGTATTTTATTTTTTTAAATAAATATTAATTGTATATTTTCCTGTCTAATCTGAAAGAAAATAACGCGTTTTATTAAATTATGCAAGAACCAATTGACAAAAAAATTACTTTATGTTTATTGAATATATTCTGGCAAGATGCGGGCCACGCTTGATATTGCATAATTTTTACTGATATATTTTAGGGATTTTCTTTTATATAAGTGTAAAAAATTTGTTTCATTTTTTTTTTTTTCAATTTAAGAAAGCTCATAAATATCTTTGAAGCTAACTGGGAAAGTCAAGTAAAAACTATGGAGGCTGCTAAGTGATGTAATCTAATATGATATATACATCGACTTTTGTCTTTATTCATAATGCACAACAGCCAAATTGACATAAAAAAGCTCATTTTCTGTAAGTTTCTTTGTTTTGTCACAAAACTTTTGTGTTCGATATCATGTTATTTATTCCAATTATTTACTAACGAACTAAAAATACTAATTAATAATTCTTAAAAGACATTTTTAATTAGTCAGTATTTTATTTATTTGATACGAAAGTTGGGCACTTCGACGTGAGCGTGTCTCGCTAGATCAATTACAACTGAATAGTGAGTTCGATCATGAATGGTTGCCCCATACTTTCGGCCTTGTGCTACATCCGGGCTTTGGCCAGTAAATAAAATTATCACCTCGAATTAACAGTCCCGGGACCAAAGGACTCCGGATTTAATTCTAAATCTTTTTAAACTTTATTTAAAGTTAACTTACAAATAAAATACACAGACATACTGTAGTGTACATTTATTTACAATAATTTTGTACTGTACTGGCAGTTTTCAGACCACGAAAAAAAAAAGTGGTTGAAATTAACGGACGACCCTCCCTCCTAGTCCGCTAAATTGAGGTTCCTCTGATTTGATACTAAAGTTAACAGCGCCCTCTTACGAGGGAAATATAAATCATTATTACCAAGGGCAGATAACTCAGATTGGAAATCTAAAACGGAGACAATTTTTCACTTTCTTCCGAAACATGGTTAAGAAATATAAAATCAAGAAATCGAAACTTACCGGTAAGTTTGTGGATTTTCTTAATCCTTTAATTATTTCAATCTTTTTGGAGTCGAGCATTTTTTTAATTAAAATGTCTGTAAATATTTGGATTGCTTTTTCAAAGGTTAGAAAACACGTGCTTCTGTTTAAGAAGATTTGACTCCACGTTGTGTTGTTTTTTTTTTTTAAGAATAAAAAAAATTATAAAAATAGAAAAAAATTCTAACAAAAGATATCGTGATTTTAATAAAAATATTTAACAAAAATACAAATATTTTAATTTTAAGTAAAATATTATTTTCATATCTAAAGCCTTTTTTAAGAAAAAAAAATGACTTTGTCCCTCGTGTCGTTTTTTTAATTTTATGATTTCGATGAAAAATAAAAAAACAAGTCTTTTTCGTTTATTTTAAAAAGAAAAATACCAGAACTGTTTTTTTAATTTGAATAAAATTAATTAAATAAAAACTTTAAAATCCTTGTTTATTTGCTTGAAATTTGAAATATTTATACAGTATTATTTACTTAAGTAGAAAAAAATGAATAAGTTTATTAACTAAATTAATTTAAAATAAAAATATCTCAGAAAAATTTTTTTTTCCTTTCGTGGAACTTAAAATATTAAAATAAATTTAAAATTTTTCTTTTAAGAAAATCTTCCATGTGATATTCAAGTAGAAAAGCTGTTTAGAACTTCTGCTCGAATATCCATCAAAAATAACGTTTAAACAAAATAAATTTTAAATATATATATTGCTGGGTCATATACATCGAATGAATGATGTATGGTGAACTGGACACAGGACACTTTTCCAGTTTTAAAAAATTAATCTATGTTTCAAGAAGTATAATGTCTTTCAGGAAACCAGAAAAAAAAAAGGTATTGATTCAAGAAATTAGTTGAGAACAGCTTATATACAATTGCAAGTATTATTAGTGCCATGCTGTTCAAGGAATCATGTAGGCTGGGAAATGGTGAAAACCAATTGTTGGAGAGATCAAATGACAATGAATTTAATGATAAAAGATTTTATTTCGTCTGCCATTTTGCAGAAGAGAGTGATTTACAAAGATTACTGTTGCCATCCAAACATTGCTTGCAAAAGTTATTTGAATGAAATAAAGAGAGAACGACCATTATTTCAGGTGATAAATAGATAATTACTACAAGTAAAAACGCAGTATAGAATAATTTTAGGTTTCATCATTTCATAGTTGAATTGAATGGATGTAAAGGTTGTATGCTAACAATAATTTTTCTTTCAATGTGGAACTATTTCCACTTCCAGTTTGTTTTCATCTTCAAAAATTAAAATAAAAATGTCAAGGAAAAATCTACTGTCATCCTGATTAAAAAATTGTTCTAACAAACCAAAATAATGTTTCTGTAATAATAAATTTCATTTCTAATTATTTCTTCTGTCTTAGTGACATTACTGAAGGTTTTATTTGGGATTAATTGTATTAATATATATTGTACACAAAAAAATACATTTTATATAAATAAAAAAAAATATTAAGAGATTATATACTTCTATGCTTAAACATATATATTTATATATACATATACAGACACTCACAGATCTACTACATTTTAGCTATATTATTTTACATTGACCACAGTTTTTTTACCACAAGCACTCACTATATATATATATATATATATGAGGAATGGATTTTTCATTTATTAATCAAACATATTTTTATTTTATTGTTTAAACATATTTTGAAAAATATAATCAAGTATGAGAGTCTTTTAAAAATGTTTAAACAAAAATATATATATATATATATATAGAGAGAGAGAGAGGATTACAATAGTAAAATTAATTTTTGATTGATGTTACCTTTAGCATGACATGATTTTAGATATATATATATATATATTATATATATATATATAATCATGTGACAGCAAAATTGTTAGAGAAATTTTTGAACCCATTGTACCTTAGAAAGGATTAAAGATATTTTTAAATTTAGAAATCTCCATGAATTTTATATGTTTTTGAAACACAGATAATTTTTTAATTTTCATACTATAATTATCTCTTTTTTAACAGAAAAATCATGATGAAACTTTTGAAAAAAATGAAAATGACGTTCAGCATTAATTAATATTTAGTTAAGGATTGAGAAGCTCACAAAGGATTTAAAATAATAAAGTTCAAATATATATATATATATTTTTTTTTTTTTTTTCAGGATCATTTTCCAACTTATCCAAGATGATGATTAGAGATAAATCTCTTTTTAAATAAATAATTTGCCTAAGAGGAAAATGTTTATTTTCAAAATGAGAAAACTGAAATATGAAGTATTGTTATAAAAAATAAAAATTAATATCAATCAGTTAATGCCATGTGATACATGCTAAGCGATCATTTATCTTTCAATACATGACTGACGAGGCAGATTTTTTCCCTCAGTAGGATGCCATTTCTTTCTGTAGTATTAAAGTTGCCATCAAGGCTATAGAACCTGGTCTGTCCTGTTATTTATATTATAGCTGTGGGGAGAAGAAATGGATTCATACTTTTCCCAAAGGGTATTAGCACATAAAGAAATTTAAAGATTCAACTGGAATTTGAAATTGGTTCTTTGATTCCTCAATCCAAGTCACTATCCATTACACACATATTGACCTACACCTATATATATATGTTATATAAATAATATATAAATATATATCTGATATATTGTATTAATAAAAATAATGTTTAAACAATAAAAATAAATAGATATAAATACATACATATTTAAATATATATATATATATATATTATTATAAATTAATTGATTTAAAATATGGTTTTAGAATATGCATACACAGTTCTAACCATGTTTCAAAATGGAAGCTAAAAAGCATTGAATTTAATTTTGTAATTAAATTAAAGACATTAGTTCCATTTCATCCTCAAGCGAATTTTTGGAGTAACTTTTTAAAATTACTGGGTTTTAAATACACAGCTAAAAAAAAATTCATGTTTCCAAGGTTACAGATAAATCTATTTTTCTAATTCCATTGCAATGGGTGGCTGGGTTTTCAATATGTCTATAATTTAATGTATCAGTTATTGCTACGTTTTGGGTTTTGGGAAGGGATGTCATTTTTTCAATGAATTCTAACTTCCGTTAAAAAAAAGCCTGTCGTCTAGTTTTTTTTTAAAATTACTTTTTGTTAACAGCTAAAATTTTACGGCATTTTTTTTTCTTTATATATATATTTTTTTTTTTTTGAAAAAAACTTTAGGTAAGAATATTTTTTATTTTTTATGATTTGAAATATTTTTTATTTTTAATTTTTAAATAATAAAATTTTTTTAAAAAAAATATAATTAGAATTTTTACAGTTTGTAGAATAATTATCACATCAAGTATATTACAAATTTTTTTTAAAATTTTATATTTAAATATTACTAAAGTAAAATTTTCATTTCTCTGATTTAGTAGACTTTATTTATTTATTTAATTACAATTTAAAAGAAGTTTATGTTAGAATTCATTTTAATTAACTATAATTTTAATTACAACTTTAAAATATTTTCATTATTATTTTTATAGACTATATTTCATTTAATAGAAGTAAAATGTATCAGAGTTACTAACAGTCAATAAAATTATTTTTCTATATCAAGTATATTTAAATTTCGATTTTAAAAATTTTATATTTAAATAAAAAAAGAAAATTTTTTTTAGTAAAAAAAAAAATAGCTACTTCATTTCTCTGATTTAGTAAATTTTATTTATTTATTTAAAAACAATTTAAAATATGTTTATAGAAAATTCATTTTAATTAATATACAACATTTTACAACTTTAAAATATTTTCATTGTTAGGTTTTATAGACATATATTTCATTTAATAGAAGTTAAAATGTGTCAGATTTTAAATTGTTTTAATTAAAATTATAAAAAATCAAAAGTTTATTATTATTTTGAAAAAAAAAAAATTTTTTTGTATATTTTTATTTTTATATATATATATATATATATAATATATAAAAAATATAAAGCCATAAAAGATTTACATTACATGAATAAAAAAACAGATATTTGAATTATATAAATGGTGAGAATAATTTATAAAAAAAACAAATTTTTGCCATTTTAATCATTAATATTTATATCTGTTTTTTGTATGAATGATTCATGTAATATAAATTGAAAATGCACCACAATGCTTGATATTAAAATAACTGATCCGACGTGCAACTTTGGGATAATAACTGTGACATTCCTGTATTTATTGAACAATTTAGTTCATGCCACATTGACTGAAAAACCTACCAGTAAAAAAGAATTCTCCTATTACCATATTAGTACAAAAACGCACAATCTTAAAATTTAAAAATTCAACTTCAGCGTTGCGACTATACACGCGCCCAAAAATTTCTTACAATTAACAATAACACATTTTTAAAAACATTTTTCGGATTACATCTATATTTTCGTTGTCCTGTTAATACCGAGAAGTAAAAAACAAATCTATTTCCATACCTGATGATGTCTGTATGCACAGATGAAAGATTGTAAAAAAAAATTAAAAAAAGACCTTATGCAACTGGAATTTATAAACAGGGATTATAACATTCATCTACAGGTTCAGGGTTAATGTAATTTATTAAATTTGTTTGTGAAGATGTATTCTCGCCATTTATATCATTAACTTCTATATCTTTTTTTTGTATGAATGATTCATGTAATATAATATATATATATATATATATATATATATATATATATATATATATATATTATATATATAATAACAGCAAATTTATAAAAGAATTTTTATATTGCAAGAATAGATTTTATTAAAGGAACAATTAGTTAGCTTTTTTTTACCCTGCCTGGTGGCAAACGCTGCTATATATGGCGCCAAACAACAAAATAAAGGACATAGCCACTGAATTTTTTGATATAATCATTTGGCGGCTGAAATTATTTTAATAACACATTCTAGCAATACACATTTCATATAAAATATATATATAGAATTAAAAGTATATAAACAATTTTAATCTAACATGTTTAAATATTAAAATTCATCAGAGATAAACAAAATAAAATAAAACGTTAGATTAACATTTGTTCATTTTGTTACTTATCCATGATTTTGTCAGATTTTTATCCATTTTTGATTCTTCTATTCATATATATATATATATATATATATATATATATATATATATATGTGAAAAGATAGATAATAGAATATACAAATCTTTAAGTAAAAAGGATAATAAAGTTAGGTCATTTTTAACTTTTTAAAAATATTAAAAGATAGATCTAAAAAAATTTGCTCAATGTATTTATACAAAATCTATATTATGAATTATCAAATTTTTCATGGAATCATCGAAAAATCTGGTATAAAATAAATATTTCAAGATAAATTTTTTTTTTTAAATGTTCAATAATTACAAAATATTTTAAATGAAAATTCGAAAAATATGTTAAAATTATTATTGAAAAAAATTAATAGCATATTAAAATTGTCTGAATAAATTTAAGATATTTTTATTTTCAAATTTTTGATAGGCAACTAAAAAAACAAATCTGCTGAAATAAATATATAATGACCGGATTTTGGATAAAATCAAATTTTGTTTTTTCATATTTTTTTGTGTTCCAATAAATATATATATATATATATATATATATATATATATATTTCTTAAAGATATGAAAAATGATTAAAATACAAAATTTAAAATTTTTTTTTTTTGCATAAAAGATTTTTGTTTATTTTTTTCAAAAATTTTTTTTTAAAAATATCTTCATTAAAAGTTTTTTACTACATTTATAAAGTTTCAGCAATTAACATAAATCAACACACATGATTAAATTGGAATCTGAACTTTGGTTCATATTTTTTTCTACAGTAGTTGCCTGGCAGAGATGAAAAGACAAAATAAAATGGTCATATAATATGACCATTATATAATATAACAAATTATTAAAATACTCTCATTCTAAATAAAGTGTTGAAATGAGATTTTGATTTTACTTTGAAATCCTTATCTGACATGACACAATTGTGATGAATTTTATTGGAACAAAAAATTGAGAAAAATCTTTTTGGATGCTTTTTATGTTTTGCAAGTTTAAATAGAATATAAATTTTGTTTCTGTTTCCGAGACAGATTTGAAGTCACTGGAAAAAATCTCCAAGCATTTGCTGGAAGCTGCTGAGCCGTCAGCTCCTGAAGCAAGTGATGATGAGGCACCTGAAGAAGTTGGGTTTGGTGCCAGCAAAGACAAAGCCATTGAGGAACGGAAGAAGATAAAAGGAACAATCAAAGAAATTAAAGCTGCCAAAAAACTTAAACAAATGAAATTGCAAAAACGGAATCAAGCGCAGAAGGTAATCAAAATAATTTTTTATGTTTTGATATTTTTGTTTTCTTTGAAAAATGAAGAACAATGGATTTTTCATTGGAAAATGTGTTTTTTCTTATGTTATTTTATGTGCTTCATCATTTCTTCATGTAATTTTATATTTCAGTAGAAAATTTCCAGCCAACTTGGAAAATGCAATTATCAAAGGAATTGAGAAATAGTAATTTCCCTTAAGAAAAATTACAAAATTATCAGGGAATTTTGGTTTAATGTCAAGGAATTTGAAGAATTACACTGGCTGAAAACTGAGGCTAGAGGACATAGTCTACCCTGCTAATTATCTATAGTTAGAAAGTGGGTAAAGATATGAATTCCTGCCTTTACCAAAGGCAAAGTGAATGTAAAAGACTGGAACAGAATTTGAATTCAAATTACTGATTTCACTTTTTGCACTAACAACATGTTTTGAGTATGGGAGCCTACAAGGAATAAAAAAGTCACATTTCTTTGTCTTGCTGAAGTGTTTTGTGACGTGACAAATTGAGTTTCAAGTTGCAGAGAAAAAGAAAATGGAACTTCATTTTTTTTTTTTTTAAAGCTTCCATACTTTAAAAATGTGGACATTATGGACTAATAAAAATAAACCTCCTGTAAGAATAAAAAATTTAACATTATAATTACATTTAAAAATGAATCCTCAGTTCCCAAATCTTTAAAATGTTAATTTCTGAAGAAATCAAATGTCATATTCATTCCAGAGTACATAGAGTACTAAGAAAAATAAATTTTCTTACAAAATTTAAGTTAATCTTAACCAAAGAATGTCATCACTTCGGCTGATATTATTTATATTATCCCATTTATTTAGACAATCATTCTCATCCAGGTGGATTTTTCAATGAATTTCATCTCTGGCCTGCAGGTACTGGTGGTCTTACATTTCGCAGGGACATTGAAATCAATAAACCAAATTCAAATGATCAGCCTTACATGTAATAATCAAAAGAGAAACCATAGTATTCTTTGCTAAAGTCACAGTACATCTCACAGGCTTATTTTAAATCTTGTCATTCTGTTAGGAGTGAAAACTTTTAGATTCACTTTGGGTTTGCGATAGTTTGCTGCTTTAGTCAGCTTAAGAAATTATTGAAAGAAAAAAGTCAAGATTAAGAGCATAATTAATTCTCTTTCTCTTGGTATATTTTATCTTTTTTGACTAAGGTCTCATTACAATTAACAGGTAAGTTGTCAGATCTTCGGATCCATCACTTCTCACCCTGTTAACAAAGGTGTACAAAATTAAATGCATTTTAATCTTTGAATTATCCTTGCTAAAATTTTTTTTAATGGGTGGTAGAACATATTGAAATTCTGGAACAAAAATATGACCTGAGACAAAATAAACATGAAAGTAACTTTTTTATTTTCTTTATTTTTTTGTTTAGCAATAAAGTAACTATTGTTATGCTGACGTATTGTGATAATTGAAGTACTTTGAAAAAAACCTCAGTTTTAAAAATGCATTATGCAACAGCGGGATTAGGGTTAACATTTTGTATATCTTATTTACAATATCAGAAAATAACGGATTAAATTTATTGAATTTAATTATGTCATTAACTTTATGACATTCTCAATAAATGATTTTTCATTAATTTTGTTGTATAAAATATCATGTTTGCTCCTATTTTATGTTCAACATATTTCTATATGTGAAACTAAAATTCAACATTATTTCTAGAATGAAAACCTCCAACTGCGAAAAAAAAAAGTTATCATCAGTAGATTTGTTATGAATGACAATATCAAAAAGAACAATTTTAAATTAACTTTATTTAACAAATAATCAAATTTTTAAATAAATTTTGCAATGTAAAAACAAATGAAGAAAAAGTCTTCAAAAAATTAAACATAATAAAACATTATCAAAATTAAGTTTCTTGGAAAAACTACTATATTTATAATAAAAAATATTAGAAAAAATTGGATTATTGAATTATTTCTTTAAAAATAAAATTAAAATGTCACATTTCAGTATAAGAAGTATGGTAAAAATTCAACAATTTTTTTTTTTTTTTTCTTTTTTTTGGTTAAATGCAAAAATACAGATTCCATAAAAATAAATAAAGTTGATAAAAGTGTTGAGTGAGTAATCCCAAAAGTTCAATACCTAGCCACAGTCGAGGGAACAAAAACTACGAGGGTTGAGTTACTAAAGGGAATTGACTGAAACTGAGATATACAGAAGAGGCATGGCACGTGAAATTAGAACAGTCTACTCCCCTATGGAATAAATAAAGTGTTTGGTTTGAAATTCCAATGTATATCAGTTGAAAAAGGTCAGAGTGTACAACGGCCGAAATGTTCTGAATCTAGCAATAAAGATGAGGGCAACAGTCCAAACAATGTAAATAGTTACAATACTTCATCTCAGAAATATAGGCAGAAATATTTATTTACTAAACATTTTAATGATGTTTTTGTTAGGCTGTGGTGGTATATTCGCTCCCACCATGTGGTCATAAAAAAAAGGTTGAATTTACTGTCTTTAAACTTTAATTTTTTTTTTTAAATAGTGTATATGTAGTAAATTAAATATTTGCTTATATCATGTTATTGCTTATCTAATGTTTTATTTTTATTTAATGGCTAGTAGTTTATTTGTTTTACCTTGGTGATAATTATGGGAGGTTTATTTGTAGTTGTTTATATGTGTATGTGTATATATATATTTATATGTACATACACATATGCATAGATGTGTATATTTAATATTTGTTCATTTATTTATTTTTAAGTTTATATTTTATTTATTTCTAATTAGTGCTAAGATGGCAAAGAATGTATTTAGTTCAGTTTCCTTGTTTAAAAGTTTATTTTGGTTTCTAAATCTAATTATTGCTAATTTTTTTTTTTTTTTTTTTTTTTTTGCAGTTACATTTGATGATGTTGTTTTGCTGCATGTTATTGTTGTAATTGTTTTTTGTTTTGTTGTTGTTATTGGTTTTGTTGTTGTTATTGGTTTTGTTTTATTTTTTTTTGTGTGTGTGTGTGTGTGTGGTTATTATTTTCTCCTTTGCAGCTGAAACTAATTTTGATTGTATTTTTGTTGATAATTTTTGATAATTTGCTGTTTTTAGGGAAGTGTTTGTCAATTATATTGAAGAATATTTTTCCTATTTTTGTATTGTTGGAGGGGGTGAGGTTGACCCAAATTATTTTTTCTTTTTCTGATGTTTTTTTGTTTGAATTGTTTTCATTTTTGTATTCTAATTTGTTTGAATATCTGCTGTTTCTTTGGGCTGTTTCATGTGTGTTTTTGTTGAATATTTTTAAGCTGTTAGAATTTGTTGAAATTCTTTTATTTATAGATATGGGTATTTGTTTGAATGTGTTAGGGGAATGGTTGGAATTTTTGTTAATATATTAAATATGTGGTACTTTTCAATTTATATTACAATGAATCATTCATACAATAGGTAAATTAGTAAAGTTAATGATATAAAATGGCGAAATCCCTTCGCTAACTAAATTTTAAAGATGCATTAACCTACAAATCACTCGAATGTTATGATCCTTGTTTTTTTTTAACTGTATTAGGTCTTCCTTAAATACACAAGTACTTTTGACTGTATGTCCAGTCATCATCAGGAATGGAAATTATTTTGTTTTTGGAAAAATTCAAGTAGCATCCGAGCCAAAAAATTATATTTTGACATTATATTTTTTGTTGTTATTGATGGAAATAGAAGTTTATTAGGTCATTTTTATTGGTTGATTTTCAGTGGACACTTAGATTTAGGTTGCTGTCAAGTCATGTAACATGATGTCTACAAAATGTAAAGTATTGTTTTCTTCCATTTTCATATGTAAATTCTATTGTATGTTTGATTTTGTTTAGTTTATCTACACGATCTGGTAAGTCAGTATCACAGGGATATATTAATAGAGCATTGTCAATATTTTGCAATATATATATATATATATATATATATATATGTAATGTATGTTAATTGTGTTTTATGAATATGTCCTGAAGATGGTCTATTAGACTGAAACGTCCGATGTTGACATTATATTAACATTAAAACAGCATAATTGCATATTAGGATTTTTGTTTGTTTTTTCCGTATATTTTTCTTCATATATAATGTATGTATGTAATAAATTTGGTTTGTTCTGATTATTTTTCCAGAAAGAGAAGTTGAAAGACTTGGACCGGTTACCAGATTCACTTTTGGAGAATCTGCCTTCTTATGATGAACCAAAAAAACAGAAAGCAGAATCTCAACACAGCCCAGAGATTTTACCAAAAACAGGAAAATTAAAACGGAAAAAAATCAGTAAAAGTAAGAAATTCCACTTGAAGAAAAAATTCCAACAGCTTCTCAAACTTATTTTAGCTGCCACCCCTCCAAGTCATAGCAGATAATTTTAAATGTTTTTTTTCCCATTTTTTTTATTAAACTGGCAAATGTAGCTGTTTTGAAAACTAATAATCAAAAAACAGTTTATTGCATAATGATATAAGTATAACACAATAGTGTCTAATTTATACTTATATTGGTAGAATGATTCTTTTTTAAGAAGAAATGGAAACTTTTAACAATCTAATATGTTCCAAACTTTTATTAAGACTTCATTATAAATGAGATATGGGGAGAATAAATGAGAGAAATTCTAGTATTTTTACTTTTGTGTTTGATTGTTTTTTATTGGTTAATCGTGTTTCACATAAATACGACTTGTTGAACCAACATTATTATAATTTGTGGTATTCAGAATTCAAGGAAAGATGGCTGCGTCCATTCAAAGTTTCATATTGGTCGTTAAATGGAAGAAAGCATTAATGAGAACAATTCATTTTTGGTGATGACTTATTTGTGCACTGATGTCTGCTGAGGAGAAGATGCACATTTTTTCTCAACAATTTAAAAGACTATTTTGTTTTTAGTTAAAAGAAAATGAAACTTTGTCTTACCAAATACAATGTTGGAAATAATAGTAGTAATCATTTCATAATTGCCTAGATTGGCTATTAGGTCTCATTGTTTTATTGTTGAAATGGCTAGATATAACTGTAAGTTCTGTTCTCATAGTTTCTTTTCTTACACTTCTCGCCTGTGGAACTCTCTTCCCACTTTCTTCCTTCTCTGCCAGATACAATCTATGGGAAAAAAAAAGTTTAAATGCAAGAAAAAAAAACTCATTTTTTTTACTGCCAGTAAATTTGATGTCTATCATTTTGCATTTGGGGTGAAATGATTAAAAAAAAAATTGTCAGCATTTTGCAGTTCTCAACTATTCTGAAAAATTCTTGAATTTTCAAGCATTTTCTTCGCTACCTATTGCTTATTCTTTTTATCTTGTAATTTGGAAGAAATGCCCAACAAACACAATTGATAAAATCTGCGTTTGTGCATTAGTCAGTATCAGTTATTTCCCTTTAATAACTCAACTCTTATGTTTTTGTTGCCACTGCTCTGACCAGTTATTGAACTGCCACAAGTCACTTTTTAGATTACTCAACCAACACTTTTATCCACTGGGCCATATATCCTTGGGATAGGCTGCTTGGGTGCTCCAGGCAATGTTTTGTGACCCTTACTATCTTAACAACATTTGCTTCTTTTCTACCTACATTTATATACTTTACAAATTAAACTAAGTACAACTATTAAAGAATGAAAAATTTTCACGAATTTTGATGTTGTTCTGGGGTCTTTTTTTTTTTTTGTTTTTGTTTCTTCCAAATCCTTGAATTTGTTTTCCTTATGCTAAGACTTGAAAAAAACACAATATAAAATTCACTATTTCTTATCCTTAATGTTAAAATTATTCAAGTTTTTAAAAAGAAAAATCTCAGGTTGATGTGAAAAATTGCCGCAAAACATTGTTGATTTATTTAAGATGGAATGATCCAGTGGTGTAGCTTGGAATGGGGGGGGGGGTGCCCCACGTGCCAACACAGGAGGGGTGACACAATGTCACCCCCAACAAAATTTTTCAACCAGGCTAAGGTGTCAAAAATAGTCTGAAAACAGTGTTGGAGACACAGGGCCCCCAAAAATAATTTATGACCCCCCAGTTTTGTCCCCCCTGTCAGAAATTTTCTAATGAATTGTCGGGAAATTTGTGAGTAGGAAAAGTAGCAATGTTTTCAGCTTTCATGTGTTTCAGTTGCTACAATCTTGGTTACTAACAAGAGACATTGTTGTAACATTTTATATCGGATGATATGGTGTTTTAACTCTGCATCATTAATAACAACAAAGCGAAATACGAAGCCAAAAGTGCAACAATTTCAGTCTTGCCTGTGTATCAATTCGCTGAGATACAATTTTCCATTGAGTGAGCGATATACTTTTGAATATATCTACTAGTGTTGGGACAATTAATCGGAATCGAGAATCGGAAAAATCAGAACTTTTGGGGGGGGGATCGGAAACGTTATCGAAAAAAATTTGTGCCTATTTTTCTGATTCCAAAAACGATTCTTTTAAATTTTTAACTTAATTTTCCATTATTGGTACTAATGATAAATATTTATTGTTTTTTAAATGATCACTAAAACTAAAATCATAATAACATCAAAATACGATGTAAATTTATTTTACTTGTATAAAGAAAAACAAAAAAAATAAACTTTGCATAAATTCTCTAGGTAACCTTTAAAAGAATGCAGTTGATTTACAATGTTTCGAAAAATGCTTAAAAATTAAATAGAACATTTTTGTCAAGAAAAATACTTTCAAAGATCACTGATAATTAAATGGTACCCAGAAAATGATGCAACGAAAAATTGGACACGGGAAAATTAACAACAGAAAATTACGTCAACCATGAGCCAGTCGAGACTGTCGGATCTGGCTGTGCTGTCCATTGAAAATGAGCTTACAAGACAAACAGATTTTGACGATGTCATTGACCAGTTTGCCACAATGAAAACAAGAAAACATTCATTCTAAGACCATAGTATTGAATGTCATTCTTTTGTGTATTGCCGTGTTTTGTATTTAGTCGTTCTGAAAGTGAACAGCTGCATTTTAAAAATCTTTTGATTTGAACTGATTATTTTGTGGTATTGGATTTTGTCTTGGATCATACATGTAAACAGTAACGTAACGGTCAGTAGAGTAAAGTAGAGGTAGAGCATGTATGAAAATTTAGCTACAACTAACCATTCAGCATAGGGTGAATCGGGGTCATTCGGGTGACATTTGAGCGGACCGTCCCGGGTGACGTTTACTCTAGCTACGCCACTGGAATGATCTATTATGACAGGTCTCTAATTTGTATTTAGATACGTTGCATTTATTTTCAATTTTTCTAGTTGAATTGTTCACCTATATTGCATATGATCTATTATTTATACATAATGAGGTTACAATAAAATGTGTATTTAATCTGAATACTACCTTCTGAAAATTGAGATGTGGTACAGTTAGGGTGGGGCTGTATCATAGATTGCAGGGAGTACAAGACGTTTACACAAGCTCTGTGTAAACGTAAAACAAGGGCCCAGTTTTTAATTTTACACACACTATAAATTAAATCTCCACTTTAGAACCAATTCACTTGTTTACTTTAAAATTTAATTTTTCTCCAAAATGAAACCTCCAGACATCATGAAACTGATCATCAACCAAGTTGTTACTCTGTGCAGAGTTTAAGGGCCACAACCTCACTACAGTAAGGATTGGATTGTGCTTTCTATAACAAGTTGTTTTTTTTTGCCTGACCCATTTTGAATTCAGTTATCTTTCTCCTAGACTGGTTGCAAACCAAGGCTAGAAAACCTAGTTTGCTCCTGTTATTTAATCCATAGTGGGAATACTTTGAAAGTATAAGGTGGGGGGGTGTAGAAAAAGATGTCTGGGGGACAAACAACAACAAAAAAAATCTACTTAGGCATTGAAAGCACTGTTTGAATTTTTAAAAAAATGAAAAGAAAATTTAGATGACACTTTATTCAACTTTAAATTTTTTCTCTTTCCAGAAAAAGTTTCAGAATTTGAAGATGGCAAATGCTTCATCCAATTACAAAAAAATAAAACAACGTAAGTTTTTTTATTATTATTTTATTTTTTCTTATTTAAATTCAGGGGTTGGACAAAATAATTGGAACACTTGTTAAATTGAAAGAAAATTTATTTAATATGGAGTTGGTCCTCCTTTTGCCTCACAGACAGCTTTAATATGTCTAGGAATGGAACCATACAGCTTCCTGACTTCATCCAGAGGAATTTTCAGCCATTTTTCCATTAACACCTTCTCCAGCTCTTTAAGACACAACGGTGGAGGATAGTGGCTCCTAACTTGTTGCTCCAAAATGCACCACAAATGTTCAATAATATTGGAGATTGGGGAGGCCACTCCATGTATTCTAGCTCACTTTCATGTTCTTCATACCAATTCTTAACCACTCGAGCGGTATGTATTGGGGCATTATCGTCTTGGAAGATGCAGTTACCATCAGGGAATAAAGTCTTGGCCATTGGATGAACATGATCTCCCAAAATGTTCAGGTAATCTTTGCTGTTGATTCTACCATGCAGGGCAACTATTGGCCCGAGACATTTCCATGATATGACGGCCCAAACTATCACTGATCCACCTCCATGCTTCACTGTTGAAAGAAGGCAGTCAGGGTTGTAAGCTTCTTTGGGCTGCCTCCACACATAAACTCACCCTGAAGTTGGGAAAAGAGAAAAACTGGACTTGTTTGAGAATATGATTTGCTTCTATTGGTCTGCAGACCAGGCATTGTGATCTTTACACTACTTCAACCTCTTTTGAATGTTGCGAGTGGAGAGAAGAGGTTTCCTCATAGCGGCTCTTCCATGATATGCAGCCTTGTGGAGCTCACGGTGAACAGTTTTAGTAGAAACTGAACTATTCAGATGGTTATTCAACTCAGCAGTCACTTTGGCCGCATTTGTCCGATGATTTTATGCCACATTGCATTTTAATGCACGTCAGTCCCTGTCAGTAAGTTTGGAAGTCCAGCCCGAATTGCTAGAGGTCTTGCCCTGTTTCTCGAATTGCATCAGTGTTCCTGATATGGTAGCTCTTGAAAAACCAAACAATTCAGCAACCTTAGTGATCGAGGCTCTTGCCATGCAAGCTCCAACAATTTGCTCTTTTTCAAATTCGGAGAGGTCATGCATTTAGCTTAAATTTTACTAAATTCTAAAAATAAATAAGACAAAGGCAGTAAATTAGATAAATAAATGTATTTACAATAGATATAACCTGCAATTAGGAAGTTTTAGTTAAAGTTCTTAATATAATAGGTCTTTGAAATATAGGAGTGGATTTTGTAACTGTTCCAATTATTTTGTCCAACTTCTGTATTTCCTAAACTTAGCCTAATCTGGCAAAAGGTTAATAATGTTGAATGTCCAGTGATGATTAGACTCGCTCCATCTGCTGCTTAATTAGTTTGTTGACCATTGCAAGGTAACCAAATATTTACTAAGTTTAGTCTGGCATGAGGCCACCAATGTGAAGCAATTATCTGAAAAGAAAGAATTCAGTATTCCATGAATTTGGAAAATAATTTTTGTTTTTATTATTTCAGTCACTCATTTCATCCAGTGTGTTCTACTTCATTTAAATTAATATCTTTTTTTAAAATTATTTTTGGGCTTGGATTTTTATCTTGGTGGAATTAAATAAGTTCAGATTTGTATGGCCATCTTAGCCACAGAATTTTGTCTGGCTTTCATTCGGCGAAAATGTTCTATCAATGAATGTTAAGAATACCATGGACAAGGCATGTAAGAAACAAGGAAGTTTTATGGAGAATAGAAACTGTTGATTAAAATCAGTTGAGATTTTAGGAATAGATGATGTACAGAGAAAGGCTTGAAGAATGCAACACTCACTGACAGTGCATAGTGAACCAGCAGGTATCCTACTTGATATGAACACGTACCAGAAAGACAAATGATATGAAAGGAGCCAAAGAGAACTAAAAAAGGAAGCCGTGGAGAACCATGATCATCTATGTCCTAAAGGGATGTGACACATACACACATATATGCTTCTATCTTCCCTTCTAGAAGTGTTTAACGGTTGTTTCAGTGTAGTGGAAAAAGTTATTTTCAAATCTTTTCATTTGTACCCCCCTACTTCTTAAAATAATGACAAGCATTCATATTTATGATTTTATTGCAATATTTTGTTAAAGCTCAAATATCTTAACAATGCGATGGGGGAATTTCAACGGATATTTTATTGTCATAGAACTTGCCATGGGCTTATTCAATCATTAACTGAAGAATTAAGATTCATCAGAAAATCACCCATCCATCCTTGCATAGAATATTGCTGTCATATATGGTCTGGTGCCCCTATTTGCTGTAAGTCTCGAGGTCCTCGACAAAACTGGCATCTAGTCTGCAGTTGCTTTCTCACAAATGTGCCATGGCTTCCCTCTGTCTTTTCTATAAGTATTTTTACAGCATCTATTCTGATGAATTGCTTTCGCTGGTTCCTAGACTGCATGAATTTAAGCGAGCTACCAGGCTGGCATCTCAGTCCCACTCTTTCACTGTCAAAATGGTTAAATGTAACCGCCTCTTCTACTCCAACAGCTTCTTCTCTCGCACTTCCCGTCTGTGGAACTCCCTTCCTATTACTTGCTTCCCCGATAACTACAATCTTCAAATATTCAAGTGTAATGTCAATCGACATCTTCTGATACCTTAATCTTGTTCCCCATCCTTCTCTTTATCCTCTCCCTAAACACATCTCTCTACTCTTGTTGTCTACTCTCTGTTACCCCTTGCGTGCTAGTGGCACTCCTGCCTTGCTTGGGGTGAAATGCTTTAAAAAAAAAAAATATTCAAATAGGAAAACCATGACGTTTTCATGGGTCTTTCTGTTATTCATAATTAGAAATCTTGAGGAAATTCACTCACTTGAGAAATTCTGATTTTGAATAATTTTCTAAGACTTAATTTGAATATGAAATGGGGTCTGCCAATTTGGTTTTTGGTGGGGGTGCCACTGCCTTGGTTGTTTGTGTTGATTCGTCCCATATTTATAAACTGAATTCATTTGCATACGTGGTTTTCATTTTATGATAGGATAAGGAACAACAGGAAATGTTTATAAATTTAACATGTTTCACTTTTACTTCAGCTTCATTAGAAAAGGAAATATAGAGGAGAAGAAATAAAATTCTGGTATTTTTAATTTTGTGTTTGTTTTTCATTGGTTAATCTGGCCTCACATGGATTTACCTATTCAAGCAGCATTTGTGTGTATCATTCAGGTTTATGTGTATCATAATTCTAGCTAGTCTATGCAGGATTCAGGTGATAATGTGTTTTTGTGAAAATGAATACACATTATTCGACCACAATTTTGATCTAAAAAAGTCCACACACATCAAAAGAGACAGTAATTTACTCAGAAGGAAAATTCTCAAAAGTGCCGCCATCAAATCTTATCAAAATATAAATCTGTGTCCCAGTTTCTTTCCTGATCTCACTTTTACTGAAAGAATTACAACATTCCCAAGCATAATAATCTAATCAATATTCTTTAAAAAAAAAAATATTTGTTTAATATTACTTGCTTACTTTTTACCTTGAATTATGAATTATGGCACTTTGTGTCCTCCATGTGTTTTCACTGACCTTTCACCTGATGAACATTCATGAATGCTTCTCAAATTTAAAATCCTTAATAAACAAATGACACACTCGACTTTGTGTATAAACATGCACAGCAAAATAAATCTTTGATAAAGACCCTTATATTCGTATTCTTTTCTTAGCCTTACATGTCGTCTAAGAATAGTTTTTCCTCATCTCTTTTTAACCATATATATATATATATATATATATATATATTAGTGCTTTCTGCATTCTGTTGAGGTTTCTATCAGACTCGATGAATTAATTATATATATATATATATATATATATCGATTATAGGTGCAGTTCAATTTATAATTACATGAATCATTCATACAAAAAAACAAATATAGAGGTTAATGATTTAAATGGCGAGAATACATCTTCGCAAACAATTTCAATAAGGTACACTAACCCCGAACCTGTATATGAATGATATGATCCCTGTTTTCGGATAATAAATGTGACATTCCTGTAATTATTGAACAATATAGTTCATGCCACATTGATGGAAAACCTACCAGTACAAAAGAATTCTATTACTATATTTGTACAAAAACGCACAACCTTAAAATTTAAAATTCAAACTCAGCGTTGCGACCGCACGCTCCAAAACAATAAAACATTTCTCATAGCATTTTTTCGGATTACATCTATATTTTCGAAAGCTTGTAAAAACCAAAAAAGACCTTATGCAACTGGAATTTATAAACAGGGATCATATCATTCATATGATTCATGTAATTATATATACATACATACGCCACTAGTCTGACAAAACTTGACCTCAAACTCACTTTGTTCAAGATGGTAAGAGTATTGCTACTTAGATTTTCTTTGACGTGACTTGCAATTCACTTTACTTTGTCTCCGACCTGTTGATGTATCAGAATTTTACCCACCATTGTTTGTACCTGTTTTTTGGACACTACTTAAACAGGAATTTTTTTCAAGATTCTTTAGCATAGCAGAATTTGGGCCACCATTGTGTTTTGTCCTTTATTTTTGAATTACAACTACCAGCGACTGGTGGTTGACGGTTAAGCCACCTTGTTGTCATTTGCATCTTTAAAAAAGTCCTTTACTTCTTCAAAAGATGCAACTTCATGCAATTGTAAAGTTGCAGACAGAGATTCTTGAAGACTCTTCAGAAACTCAGAAGGAAAGGTCGGGCTTCATTCCTGTTTCTAATGTATGTATTGTTCCGCCGTGCCTTAGGGCCTTTTAACTTCTGTTGTTTTCGAGTCCACTCTGACTCGGGGTGGTAGTACCTGTTAGGGTCCCAGCTATGGACAAGTAGTTAACCCCAAACTAGAGTCAAAACACTATGAAAGTATAAAAATAGATTTTTATAGTAAAAATACCAGCAATACATTTTTGAAAAAATATATATTACTAGCAATAGATTTGACTCTCAACAAAAACCCTCTACAAAAATACATCAATGAAATCTGATCTACAAACTGATTTCTTACAAAGAATACATATTCAGTTCATACAAACTGATCCTAAAAAAATGTTGTTGGCATTAAATAACCCATTGGGGTGTTGATATGTTGTAAAACAAAATAAACCAAACCTTGCCTTGTTTGTTTGTTTTTTTTGTTTTTTTTTTGTTTTTTTGAAGAAGGAAATTAATGGAAAGTAATTGAAACTCACCTGAAGTGAGCTGAATGTGTAATGCTCCTCAAGCCAATGACACTTCCATTGAGCTTCTCTACGGCATATGACTTCACTGAATTTTGATGTGTTCCTCTTGAATTTATATTTAAACTGGGGTCATCAGGAGAGAATGTGCACCGTTTCGGGATCTTCCTCTCAACGGTTTCAGTTGCACACCGGCCCCCCTCACTGATGTGAGGCCCCATTATAACAATATACAAGTGTGTTCTGTTCTTATGTAACGGTAAGTTTACATTACCTGCAATATGTTTTTGTTCTCATATTGGTGGTTTGCAGGGAATTAATTAAAGTTACTATAATTGGTAGAAGTGTGTTTGAATGACTGGTGCCTATTTCAATTCAGTCAGGCTTTACAAAATTATTTTTGTATTTTTAAATTGTAATTCCAGAATGATATTTCTGGAAAATGAATTCTTATTTAAACATTCTGTTTTTCTCTCTGCAGAAACAACATTAAAGTGACTCCCTTGGAAAACCAAACTCCTAATCCCACAATATCTGCTGTAAATTTTCGTGAACAGGTGCTCTATGGAGGGAAAATCTCTCGTCATTCAGGTCAGTTGATTGTATGCGTGGGAGTGCAAATTTGTATTGTACTATTCTTTAAAACCCAGCTGACTTTGATCAGGAATAAAGGGTTGCTCTTTTTTTTTTTTTGGTCAAGGTTTCCTCATATAGAATTTTCACTTGTGTGGCTGTGGGGGCTATGGCCCGTGGACAGCGTGAAGCCCAACATGATTTGATACAACATACAAGAGCATAACAAACAAACATTAGTTTTTAAACACCCATTCAAAATTATTGCTTATTTTTGGGTTCCATGTTGCTCTAAAATAGTTGTCTGTTCAAAACAGAGGAAAAAGAGAACAAAGTTGCAAATCATGTATGTTTCACATTTAGCCCTTGCATTATTTATAAAATTACTTCCCCTTTTACTGTTTAGGGAATACTCTCTTAATATAGTGTTTTATATATGTTGTGTACGATACACCTAATTTACATAAGTGGAGTACCGACCATATAAATATGGGTTGGTACCGGAAGAAAGAGATTGTAAGAAGAGATCGAATCCAGAGACTCTGCCCGACTGCGATTTAGTCAACCCATTATGCAGGAACAGTCTTCCCAAGAATATACCAAAACTAACTGTAAATATTGTGTACCTTTTCCTTGTTTCAATACATTTTGTTAACGTACATTTTGTGTTGTATTATTATTATTCCATGCTTATCCAAGTTTCAACAATATATTAGTTCTGTATTTTTGAAATTGCAGTAACCTTGGCTCTCAGTTTCAGTCAAGAGTGTTTTAGGCATTGCCATAGAAGGATATGACTACACAACCAAGAAATTCAAATTCAACTTGCATTGGCAGGACTAATATTTTGCTTGATGAAACAGTCAGTCTCATGGAACAATGGTTGGCATCTAAATCAGCTCCCTCATTAGATTTTCTGCTGGTGAGGGGGTTGGTATGTCACCCCACAGAATGAAAAGCAAGAATTGTCAAAAAGCTGACTAGCTTCTTATAGGAGCTAATGCCCAATATATACAATACCAATCAAAAATTTGGGATGACCCTTAAGTGTTTCTCTATGTTCATAAAAAAACACTAGCTTTGGATATTTGGATAAATAAAAATCTCTTGCATATATATATATATATATATATATATATATATATATATATATATATAAACCTTATATAAGATTCAAATTTTTGCTATAAGTATTATAAATTTATTTGGAAATTTTGTTACAATTCTGAACTGTAGGGCAGAAATTTACAAATATTTCAGCCCCAAAGTAATAGTTCAATTCCATCTCGGTTAATGTGTGATTGGAATTTATTTTTAGAAATTATTAAAATCCCAAGAACTAAACAGATTAGTATTATAAAAAGAGCCCAAGTGGATATTCTCTCTATAGAAGGGCATTCTGAATGACAGATTGCTAGAAAATTACAGATATCAAAAAGTGGGGTGCATTATTGCCTGCAGCTACATGCAGAGACCGGTGCAAATGTTGACAGAAAAAGATCTGGGAAGCCCCGAGTAAGATCTATTGTGGAGGATAGACACTTGATTGTGTCTAGCAAAAAGGAACAGAAGAAAAACAGTTCATCTAATTAACTGCTGAATTTAATTCTACATATCAACATCCGATATCTATGATGACCATTTAGAGAAGACTTCTTTCTGTTGGGCTTAAAGGATGTTTATCACTTATCACTTAAGAAACCTTGATTTAAAGAAAATGAAAATAAGTTGAAAAGGCTAAAATGGGCACAGCAGCACAAGTGTTGGATTTTAGAAGATTGGCAAAAAGTACTGATGAGTCCAAATTTGAGTTTTTTGGAAGTAAACGAAGAGTGTTTGTCAGATGAACACTTTCCAAATGAATGAATGAAAATTGCATTTGTGCCAACTGTGGTGCTGTAATGGTTTGGGGATGTTTTGGAGGTGAGATTCCTGGAGACTTTGTTCAAATTAAAGGAATTATACGAAAGGAAGCGCACCATTCAATACTACAAAGACCTGCAATTCTTTATGTCTGCCGCATTATTGGACAAAATTTTGTTTTTAACATGAACCAAAACACAGCTGAAAACTTTGTACAAATCTAAAATCAATGGAAGATAAGGGAATTTTACAAATCATGGCTTGGCCCTATCGATCTCCAGATTGAACTAGTCTGGGACAAAATTGATTTTGTTTGAAATGAAAGCAAATTGATAAAAAAATAATCAATTTCACCAAACACTTTTTCCAGTTAGAGAAAGGGGAATCTCTTCCACCAAACAGACTAAATGCTTGTGGTGGATTCTTTAATGAAAAGAAAATATAAATTTGCTTTAATTGAAATTATGATTATTTTATATTCATTTTGATTTACTTATTGCATAATTGCATGCAAATTTAGAGAAATAAATTTATTTCTTTAAAGACATGACACTTGGTTCATTTTTTAAGTTTAGAGGATAAAAGTCAATGTGGTCCCAGACTTTTGGTCAAAATGACATTTAATTGTATGTATGTATGTCTGTGTGTGCATATATATATATATATATATATATATATATATATATATATATATATATATATATATGAGTGTGTGTGTGATGACTTTCTGGTCGATTTTGACATATATGGATCTTTAACCTCATTCAGTTCATATATATTGACCTGCAAACAATTCCACATATTATGTAACAGCAAGGATCCCAGGACATAGCAACAGGAATATTAGCTGACACTTTTTGCCATTGTCTTTCGTCTCTTAACCAGTCAATACGACCGATTTAAAAATTTCTGATACAACTCTGGTACAAATATCTCAAATTATTTCTATCCAGGGCAAATCGTTTGAAGTTAGTATGAGGCACATTGACAGCTGAGAGGTTACTCTTTAGCTTGTCTTTATATTTGAGCCACGAAACATCAGTCAGCTAAGTGACAAACTTTTACTCATATACTTACTACGTTACTTAATAATCGAAAACTGAAAAAATAAATAAATAGATAAAATAAATAAATAAATAAACAAAATAACAATAAAATAAGTAAAATAAATTAAACCAAACAAATTACCAAATCACACCCGTTAGAATAGACAAAATAGAATAAGTAAATAAAAAAATAAAAAACAAAATCAATGAACCCAAATAAATAAAGTAAGTAATAAACAAATTAACAAACCATTATGACCAAAATATTAGACTATAAAAATCAAACCAAAAATCAGACGAAAAACATAAAATAATAGCTATAACTGTTATATAATAAAAAAAAAAATTTTATTAAACTTAAAAAATTGAAAAGAGTAAATAAAATATACAGTATAATAAATAATTAATAAAAAAACAAAATAAATTAATCTTAATTAATCCAAATAAATAAACTAACAAACTGATCCTGATAAATTAACTGTTAGAAAAAACAAATAAAGATAATCAAACCAAATAAATAAATGAAGTAATAAACAAATTAAAACTATTTATAAAATAATAGAATGTACTGTGGGACATGAGACAGAACCTGGGGACGAAGCACAACTGGTCGCGACTTGCCTTGTCCCTAGCCAAAAAAGCCCGTATTTGCTTAGCATGTAAAGCTACTGCAGTTGAAATGAGGAGAAAAAAGCACTTACCGCTCTGCCGTAATCCATCCTCGGCCAGATAATGTAAAAAAGAATGAGGGGGACTGGCATTTGCATTTTTCTGCAATAACAATGCAATGCATTATGGGACATGGACACAATGAATTATGGGATCACATGAAGACGCAAGGGATTATGGGTATATGAACAACTATAAAAGCAACTACTTTTTTTTCCAGTGGGGAGTTCTTCGAGGGACGTTCAAAAATACGGAGAACACTAAAAGTTAGTGTGATTTTGAGACAGAACTCAAGAAGGAACGATTCAAGGTTGAAATACCAGCTGGGAGAGCTTGAATTTACTCGCTGGTTACAGTTTTCTTTATTCGCCTCATAGAATAAACTACAGCTATCAACCCCAAAATTGAATAAATAGCTTTATCTTCCCAAACCAAAACAAAACTATTAAATAAGCGATATAAACAAATTTTTCCTACGTTAATAAAACACCGATTAAAATAAAATCGATAAATAAATATATAAGATAAGAAATAAAAAAAATACAAATAAATAAAAACAAGCAAAATAATTTAACCCAAATAAATAAATAAACAAATAAATGACTTCTGGCAAAATAACCGCTAAAATAGACTACCCACAATGCACCACTGACCCATATATATAAATAGCTGAGAAAAAAAAACAGCACTTGTGGCCTGACAATTGCACCTAGCATGAAACAGACTGTTGCCTCAAAGTGTTGACTTCAATGTTCACACACACACACACACACACACACACACACACAATTGTGTATTTGGGCAGCAATCCCTCTTTTATACAAGTTTTATTCAAGAAACCCAGCAATGTTAAACAGACACTAGTTAATAACTGTTTTCCATAAATCACTAAATTAGACTATTTCTTTGTAAGGTTACCAATAGCAACACTGAGCATACAGGTAAAAATAATAACATTAACATTTTCTATAAAAATCAAATGCATGTTAAATATAAGCAAGATAAATTTTCCCTTAGAAATATTATAAAGAAATACACAACCCAATCAACTAGAACAAGAAAATGAAATTATCTACTATAAAAAATTTAAAACAGCTCACCTTATAGTCAAAAACAACAGCTCACCTGCAAGATCCAAATTACAGAGACCCGATATTTTGAATGAACATTCCCTTTCATGAACTGCATTCTTGATCAAAAACATTTGAATATGTATATTGGACATGGGCACGTCCCTATCAAGAAGAAGATTTAACATATTTCTGACCATAGTTCAATTAGGACACTTTTAAACACACACAATTTAAATAAAAAATTAAACAAAACATTATTTTTGTACTCTAGAAATATAATATATATAAAAATTCCACATTAAATTAAAAAAAAAAATGAAAACAACTTTGATAATGGCCAAAATAATAGCCAAAATTAATTTTTTTT